TTCCCCCTTGTCCTATCACTACACACCCATGCACAAAGTCCCTCTCCATCCTTCCTGTAGGTCCCCTTCAGGTACTGGTAGGCTGCTATAAGGTGACCCCAGAGCGTTCTCTTCTCCAGGCTGAACAGCCCCAACGCCCTTAGCCTGTCATCATAGGAGAGGTGCTCCAGCCCTCTGATCATCTTCGTGGCCCTCCGCTGGACCCACTGTAACACATCCATGTCCTTCCTATGTTGGGGGCTCCAGAGCTGGACACAGTACTCCAGGTGGGGTCTCATGAGAGCAGAGTAACGGGGAAGAATACCCTCCCTCGACCTGCTGGCCACGCTTCTCTTGATGCAGCCCAGGATACGGTTGGCTTTCTGGGCTGCAAGCGCACATTGCTGGCTCATGTTGACCTTCTCATCCACCAGTACCCCCAAGTCCCTCTCCTCAGGGCTACTCGTATCTTGGTTAAAGTATGTGTTTTCATATTAATTCAAAAATGTTTGGGAGAGTTTTGGACCTGAATAACTGTACATGGCTTTGACTGTGTGCATGGTCATTGCTCACTACTGTAGCAGCAGCATTCCCTCCATGTTCAGTCTGTGAGGTTGAGGCACCTAAACCTTGTAAATAAGAATATATGTTGAACATGTGTATTTGGATCTTCCTGTGTAGAAAATACACTGCAAGATGCACTGGGTTTGGTATATGAGACTAGTGTGCTGCCTGTAATCATCACTACAAAATCAGGTCAGAAGGGATCTTTGGAGGTCATGTAATTCATGTAGGGTACCTGAACCTGACATAGCGTTAAAAAAAATAGCTATGTTGCACCAGACCGAAGGTTCTTTTAACCTGGCTACTGTTAGAGACCGTGTGCCAATATAGACCCGAGAGCAATAGTATAAGAGAGTGGAATTATAGTGTGGTTTTCCATGAATGCTTTTCTGTTCTCCAGCAGTTCATGGTATGCTGAGCTCTCAACTCAGAGGTGGAGTCTTCGTGTTTTGTATTCAGTATATGCTTCCTTCCATGAATCTATCCAGTCAGTTTTGAATCCATGGTAAAGAATGTCTCCTGGCAAGAAATTAATCACATGTTAGAGGAGATATCTCTTTCTGTTTATTTTGGACCTACCTTTCTGGACCTGCATATGCCACTTCTTTGATGGAGGATTATAGGCTGACAGGAAACTTTTCTCTTCTTGGCCATCATCCATAGTTTAATCATGGCTGGATCTCTGGCCAAGAAACCACAGTCTTTTTGAATGACACTTCAGGACTCTGACTTTGCCAGATAGGGGCAGGTGAGGTGCTTGAGCCAGCGTCGCTCCCAAGAGAGCTAGAAGAAGTATCTATGAGGCATTTCTAGGTGGCCTGCAATTACATGAGCTAGTGTTTATGCATTTTCCCTGCCTGGGCCGTTTAGCTGTGCTGCAAAGCTGACTGCCTGCTCTCTATTCAAGACCGTGTACTGGAACAGGTTGTCCAGAGAAGTTGTCGATGCCCCATCATTGGAAGTGTTCAAGGTCAGGTTGGACAGAGATTTGAGCAACCTGACCTAGTGAAACATGTCCCTGCAATGGCAGGGGGGTTGCACTAGATGACATTTAAAGGTCTCTTGCAAACCAAACCATGCTATGATTTTATACTGCAAGGTCCAGGGAAGGGAAAGACAGGGTAGCTCCCTAACACGACCTCAGGCTTACAGAGAATAAGCTTGTCAAAGGAGTTCAGTTCCCTGTTGGACAGTAATTCTCAGATCTGTCTCTGAATTTGACTATTGCTGTGAAAGCCATTCTGTTATTCAGGTTGTTACTGACTCAGAGTATAGGGTGAGCTGCCTCAGTAGGTGTGGTGTAGTTGAGACTTCGTGGTAGGTCCAGGTAGCTATAGCTTTAGACTGTACCTTTTGCTTACCCTGCTCACTCCTGGGAAAAGCCACCCCACAATATACTGTGGACCAGCAGCTCCCTGAAAGGCCTCTCTGAGTTCTTGCCACTGATCAGTGGTTGTTCTGCTACAGGTGTGGCCTACCATAGGACTTGGCTTTAAATGGAAGAGAAAAGAAACCCAGCTGTCAGGACTCATTTGTTTCTGCTGTGTTGCCTAAATTTGCAAACAGGACATGTAGTTTGTGGCTGTGTAGCCTGCTTAGTCCACCTTAAAGTTTAACAGTCTGCAAAACTTAACTGTACAGAGTAGGTCTGGTTTTGATTTAGATGCTAGCCAACAAACAGCATCTGAAATGTTGAGATTTTTTTGCATATCTCAATCAATAATGCCTAAACCATTCTTTATTTAAAAAAACCCAAGCAAAACAAGAACAGACCCCAGCATTTGTCCCAACAGCCTGTGTGACAAGTTCCACTATGGGATTCTGAAATAGCCATGATATTAAGTCCTGCCACTTTCCTCCCAAATGAAAATAAGACAAGGTTGGGACTAGGACAGAGGCAGGTTCTGGAACAGGTGGTTCCCGAGTCTTTAGACTTGTTCAGTGTTTTGATGAGAAAATCTGAAATGAAGAAAACGTAGTATGTGAGGAGTTGGACGATTCCCACTAGAATGTTTGGAAACAGTTAGGCATGCTTTGAAGTACAAAACAATGAAGTAAACATTAAGAAAAGCAATTTTCAGTACTCACAAAAATAACACATGAATAAACCCCCCTGAAGCCATTGGGCATAATATCAAAATGTCCTGCCTGCTTAGAACATGAAAGAGCGTATGTTTGTGAAATTTGTTCTGACGTACAGACTTAGAGAAGTAAACAAATAGCAGCTCAAGAGAGCTACAAACTCAGGAGTGAGCTACAAACAGAAATTACTATGAGCTGCAGTGTTAAACATGCTCCCTGCTGCTCTTCTGTCACTGCAGGGAGTCAAAACTATGTTTCATTTAACAGATAAGAGTCTCTTGTGAAGATCTTGGGTTGGTTCTGGTTGTGGTGATGTGGAATACACTTATGGAGGGTGACTTCCCATTGTATGCAGAGATACTTCATGCTCTGGCGTTGCCCTCCTGTCCTAAATGGGTTATCACAAAAACCCAGTCTTGAAATCCTAAGGTTTCACTTAGGGTTGCTGGTCTCAGGCCTGAGGGGAACCAGTAACGCTGGCGGCGTTAGTTGGCAGTGTTGTTAGGTCTCACTAGAGACCCTTACTAGTGAGACACTAAAACAATGGCAGAAAAAACGCATACTGCATTTCTCTCTGTGGAGAGGTTTCTGCTTTGCCGGTTTCTGTGGTATACAATGGAGTTCAGAAAAGCCTTGAGTTCATGCAAATCACTCTACAAATTTGAACTAGATACTGTGTTTTCTCTGGGGATTCCTACAGGGCATAAGAAACAGTAATGTCTGCCCTTCTTGGCTCTTCATGGTGTTTCCATCTTGTATCTCAGAAATTATCGTGGCAAATGAAGGAGAATAATGTGCATTGTGCACTCTGTTTCATTGCTGTTTCCCTGCAGGTGATTTTAATAGGCAGCTGATGAGTCAGATGATGCAGATGAACCAAATACTGGGAGATGTGAAAGACCTTCTGAGACAACAGGTACTGTATAAAGTCTTTAGCGTGAAATATCCCAGGCTTGCCACTTTTGAGAGTCAGGGTAGAATTCACATAGGCAATAAACTCCTGTGTAGAGTTCATTGCCTCAGAGGCACGGCACAGCAGAGAAGAAATAACCATATAGGCCCTGCTACCCTGTGCTTGCTATGGAGAATCACTGAATGTGGGAGTGCAGGGGACTTGCTTATTCAGATCCAGAAAATCCAGTGTCTTAAGTGGGTGGGAACTAGAGCAGCCATCCTAGCCCACTCTTAGGTAGAGTTAGGTCTGTTGCCCAGAACTGAAGTTGCATTTGTTGCACTTGCTGGTGGGTGTCAGAACTGGAATTGCTGGTGGCACATGCCTTTAGTTAAGCATGTCATTCTTAAAGGTCCTATTGATGAAGGCTGTACTGAAGTACAACTATTATCACTGTCCTTAGTTTTATGGAGTACAAAGAGCATTTAATTTCAAGATAGAGTACCTATGTTACATGGTTTGAGTGGCATCTTGGGGAAAAATGAGAATGGTTTTCTGGCAGCCAGGTGCAAAATGGAGCTGTCTGTATTCAAATAATGTTTATTTTCTGTATCCTCAAGGTCAAAGAAACAACTTTTCTGAGAAATACCATAGCTGAGTGCCAAGCATGTGGTAAGTATTCCTGTTATTGCCTATAAAAGGCAACCAGATGAGATGTACAGTTGTTTTAAAACCAATATTTATTGCCTCAGCTTTATGTGGTGTCTAAGAAATACTTTTTTAAAAGTACTGTGTCCAGAGTTCTAGATGTATTGGACACAGATTTAAAATAGATTTTCATTAGAGAAAAAACTTTGAGTTTCCATAGACCTGACAGTTACCTATTGGGAGATAAAACCCCACTAAACCAAGCAGTACCACTCACCCTGTACTGTCAGTTCTTGCTTTGCCATAGAGCTGTGCCACATGTTCCTGAGGAGAAAGACATTGCCTGCCAGGTATCTCACGAACAATCTTAGTAGAAGGACAAGTGAGCAATCATGTCCTGCTCTAGCTGGTACACAGGATCGGTGTGAGGAAGATCCTGTGCAGTCTACCCAAAAGTCATCTGATTCCGAGTAGGCAGTCACTGGTTAATGGCAGTAAGACCTGAAAGGTGGCCTCCGTCTTTTCACTAAATGGAGGAAATAAATGCTTTTGCAAATACCACTGTATGCCCCTTCTACACAACTGACAATCAGGACACGCATGCACTCAGTGTAAAAACCAAAATCCTCCTGCAGTGGGTGGAGTCAAAGGCCTTAAACTCATCAGGCCTTTTAGCTGATTTCTCCTCGTGGTCTGTCAGCCTCATCAAAACTCAAGTTGAGCTCCAGCCTGGTTAATCCTTATGTGTAAGTGGCAAAGAAAATGTTTTTAAATTGTGCGTGCATCAGTACCAAGGTTCAGCACCTGCCAGAGTCTCAGAAAACCTTGCTTTTCCACAGGGCTGTTATCTGTGCACCTAAGCCAGTGTACTTGTGTGTCCTGCTGCGTGTTCATGGGCTACAGGCTGCTGTTACTTTATTCCTCTTATTTGTAGACTGTCAGATATGCTTTTGCAAAACCATGGCACTGTTTTTCTTATGAAGTGGTAGTGTTGCCAGTTTAGCCAGTGAAATGCCTTGTACCATCACTCTTGAGTCCCTTGGGCCGTCTGAGGTCACTGGCTTTCACAGTTTTGTCCCCCAGCCAGTAGCAGATCTGTGCTGGGACTAACTTAGGAGGAGGGCTCCCATGTGTAGCCAGGAGAAGCATGTGGACCTAACAAAACAGCCTTCATTTCCTCTGTCTGGGGACGCAGCAAGCTGCTGGGCTGTTCCCAGCACGAAGTCTCTTCAGCCACAGCACAGCTGGTAGCAGCACAGTGCAGAAACACGAAGCCCCTGCTGTGCAGTGTCTTGGGGATCTCTTCAGAGCGCTTGCCAGTTAAAAGCAGTGATGGATGTTTCTTTCAGTCACTGAAACTGTTATTCTTTCTGCATTAAAGGTTTGGGAACTGTGAATTTTCCAACTCAGCTTCCTAGGCGCAGTAAACCCAAATGTGAAGTTAATTCCTGCTTCAGGGGAGTCAGGTGCGTGGAAACAGCAGACGGATTTCAGTGCGGCCCCTGCCCTGAAGGGCTCACAGGAAATGGAGTTACCTGCTCAGATATCGATGAGGTAAAATAGTGACTTTCACTGAATTTAAAAAAAAAAAAAAGGAAAAAAAAGCTAAAAAAAATCTTTCCATACATGGGTTGCTGATACTTGCTGTCTTCAGCTTTTGCTGACTGCTTGCACAGTGAATATTAATTCATTCTGATTTGATTCTACCTCCCTATTTTGCTCTTGCTGCAACTTTATGGAGGTCATATGTGTGAAAACTTGAAACACCCTGGTGAGTTGAGAAGTCACTTAAAGCAGTTTAGTGCTTGGAAAAAAAATCCAAAATAACCCAAACAAGCTTTTGACGTAGTTGTTTCTATTCCACAAGAAGATGCAGTAGCTTCTCTTACAGGCAGAGCTGCAGAAGCACGTTTTGTTAATGTGGGCTTTGTTTCTTTAAACTGTAGTGCCCCTAAACCAGCCTTGGAGACTAAAGTCTTCTCTTCAACCCAAACTGGAGCCATATTTTTAGCCTTACCTTAAAAGTCTAAGAAAGAAAATAAACGTTTATTGTTATTGTTCCTTTTGCTTTTTTATGGTTGTGTTGAAAGCTGATGTTGACTTCAGTTTTTTTTCTTTTGCTATATGTTAGAAATTCAGAGCTTGCTTGTATTGAGGACTGAGTTAATAAATCTACAATATCTTAAACAATTAAATAAAACCTGTGTTAATTGAAGTGTGACACTCAGAACACAAACAACAAAACTGCTTACAGCTTCACCTCATTTTTTCTGTGTGATGATTTTTGCCATTACTCTCTAGTGATTTTTGTGGTAAAGCATCTGAATATAGTAAACCATGGAACCGGGAGAATTAGGTCATTAGCTGTGCCTGTGGATAGCACAGTACCTGCCTAATGATGTAAAACAACAAAAGCAATTCCTTTTTTTCTCCTTCCTAGCCAGCAGGAGATGTGCTTTGACTGCTCTTTTGTTTACTCACTCCTGTAGGCCCTCAGCAGAGAGGCTGTGATGTGCCCAACTTGTATCTGTCTGTGAAAAACACTGGGGAGAGAAAGTGAGTTGAGTGTGGCAGTTTCCTGAGTTGTAGGCAATGTCTTTTGTTTTGCCTCCCATGGCATGGAGTGTGTCTGCTGCAACAGAGATGCAAAAAACAGAGGTGGAGCTCTGAAATGTGAGTGCAAGAGGTGAAGGTGAGGCAGCTGTGGTGCAAGTTTCATGCCGCAGACAGCCATGGTGAGAGATTCAAGGATGGGTTCCACCTCCTGAGCTGTACCCAGGCTGAGGCAGAGCGTGGTATTTCAGGATTGGAGCAGCTCTACCCATGACAGCAGTGGTGGGAAAACAAAGAAAGACTAGTTTGCAGTGGCCCGACATTAACATGATTTTCTGTGAGCAGCCAGGTTCTGCCACTGCAGATTGACCTTCCTTCATGTTCTTGCCACCTCTATACATGGCAGACCTGATCTTATGTTAGAAACAGCAAGGAAATTTTGCCAAAACAGTGTCATAGAGATACAGTCTTGCTTATGTGAGGTCTTTACATGGACACTGCTACTGAAATGCCACCTAGTCTGGTGCGGTTTTGTTCACCCGTAAATAGCTCCTTTAACAGCTGGATTGCACAGGAGGAAAGGATAACACTTAAGATTGCACAGGAGGAAAAAAAAAGAGAAAATAAATGGCAACAGCTTTTCATTGTCTAATAAGAGGGGATCTGTCATATTATTTGTTTTCCTGAGTTAGCTGAGACTAAGAGGGAAA